GGGAGGGGGGAGCAGGGAGGGAGGGGAAAAATGAGGTCCTAATGTCGGGGGTTTAAGTGGAGAGAAAATGTTTTGAGAATGATGTACAAATGCGCTTTACACAATTGACGTGTGCATGGATTGCGATAACAGTTGTATGAGCCCCTAATAAAATGTTTAAAAAAAAAAAAGAGAGGTGTTTGACATGACAATGATAATGGTAGTTGTTACAATTGTATCTATTTGTCTTAATTCTTTCAATTATATGGTTTGGTGAATGTGGGGATACAAACTATCTCTTAATAAAGTGTTTATAATAAATTAAAAACATTTAGTGTTGTGGACTAATTGTGTCCCCCACTCCTACTCCTATATGTGTCAATTTGGCAGTCATGATCCTCATTCTAGTAATTAGACACCATTTTGTGATCTGATATAATTATCCCATGTTTTAGGAGTTCCTTTAGATTATAAATAACCTCTGTGATGTTAATGAGAAAAGATTATAGACAGTGATGTTAATGAAGAAGGATGCAATCTACAAGATCAGGTTATATCTTGCGTCTATTCTTTTGGATATAAATGGGATCAAACAACTAAGCATTGATCAAAGGGACAGAAAAACAAGAGCCTGGAGTGGAGCAGAGCCTCTGGACCCATGGTCCTTGTGCTGGGAAACCCGCAAGCACAGGGGAAGATTGATAAGGACTTTCCCACAGATCTGACAGAGCCTCGCCTAGAGCTGGTGCCCTAAATTCGAAATTCTATCCTCTTAAACTGTGGAAGAATACATTTCTGTTAGTTCATAAAGTTATCCACTTTATGAAAATTCTGTTATAGCAGCACTAGATAATTACAACTCCTAGGAAAACAAGCTCATACAAATATTTTTCCTCCTGTTGTAAGTAGACATGTCATCAAAAGGACAGTACAAAAATAATCTTGAATCAAAATCAAAGGTATTTGTAACATGGGAAAGTAAAAGCAAACACATTTTAAACATTTGAAATCATTCATATAAACTTTATTTTTAAAAGCAATACAGTCTCAATTCCATATCAACAATTCTCATTCTCCTAATCTCATCCAACATTGTTTTTAATATAATATTTGAATTGCAGAAAACAATGAACAATTGAAAGAAACTCATTTTCAATTGTAATATTATAAACTAAAATTAAAATATTTTTGTTTATTTTTAACAAAAGATTATTACAAAGTTAAAAGGAACAAAATGTATAATTACATGTCATCAGTGTCCATGTTTTAAAACACTCCAAGAGAGTAATAAATTAGAAATCCCTGGCAAACATTAAAAAATTTATTCAAGCTGTCTCAAGTTTGTCAGCTTCAATATATATCTAGAACCATAATTAGTAATTCAAAAGCAGACTTATTTTGGAATCTTGCCTGAATATTTAACATTAGATGTGCTATAAATCTGTTCTTTACTTTGTTTTAGATATTTTACCTTTCCTGAGGATGGCGGAGAAGGACTGGCACAAGGACTTGGGTAGCTGTTGCTATCTGTAGATTTCACAGAAGATTGATCTGATCGGTCATCGGTGTTTCGTTTAGGATGTAAAATCCCTCTATCTTTGTACTTCTGAGGTGGGTGGGATGCTGGAGATGGAGACTTCATTAAAACTCTTAAATAAGAAAGAGAAAGCAAAAATTACACTTAGTTTCCAATACAAAGCTAATGTCATTTTGATCCAAATGACATGATTTATGGAATAATCAAAAAAGGGAATTCCATTATTTTGTTACATTCTAAAGTAAATAAAGTTGTGTGATTATGGTGCAGTGATTAAAGTGCTTGGCTGCTAAACAAAAGGTTGATGGTTGAGCCCAACAGCTACTAGAAAGGAAACATCTACAAGTTGATAGAACTATTGGTGTTAGCCTCGGTAAACTAGGGAAACAAATCCACAGGAACTCATATGTATACAAGAGAGTTTTATATAAAGGTTAAGTGTACATTAAAAAAGCATCCTAACCCAGTGCTGTCCAAGCCCATAAGTCCAACATTAGTCCATATGTCCGACACCAATCTACAAAGTCCTCCTCAATCTCACAAAAACACGCAATGACGCCAGCTGCAGGAGGAAAGCTGAATCAGTGAGCGTGTACACATCTCAACACTGGCAGGGGTCTCCACACGACTGCTCCAGCACCCAGGGCTGTGTCAAGGTAGGTCCATGTGGCTACTCTTCAGTGATGTCTCTTAGGAAGTGAGCCTTGCCAGCTGAAGCAGGGAACTGGCTAAGGCAGATGCATCCTGGTCCGACCATCAGAAAGCAAGAGACCCACGAACTAGAAAGGTGAGGCTCACCGAGCCATTTATCTCGCTGCCCTTCAGTTAATCCCACGTGTTTATTGGCCAGGTTAGCACAAAAAAAACTTAACTATTTATCAATAGTAAAAGAAGCTTGCCGTACAAAGAAAAGTTAACTGTGTTATCATTCACCGAAAAAATGGTTACAATCAGATTCTAAAATATGACTAACACTGTATTTAATAAATGCATTTCTCCTATATTTCCCTATTTTGTTAAATAAGTATAAAAAGAAAAAATGCTTTATTTTTTTTAATTTAAATAGTTTTATTGGCATGTACATCATATAACATACAATTTAATCATTAAATCACATTAAGATTTATGCAATCATTACCACAATCAATTTAAGAACAATTTCTTCTCATGTTCGTTGTAGTTAGCTCATTTCCCCCCAATCTCCTCGGTCAGGTCCCTGACAGCATCTAAGTGAAGTGTCAACTAAATCCACAAGGAAGAACCACATCCATTTGTGGGATCCAAGGATTGTTAAGGAAGGAATGGTCTTAGAGCTTAAATCATGAAGACGCGGTTTGCATAAGGCTATGGATGGCAGTGTGCTCATGTAGATTAGGCCTATGGTGATTCTCCTCTGATCATAATTAGGGATGTAAACAGCCTTGCCATCCAGACAGAGAGCACTGTAAAGTCAATTATGGAAAATGTAACACCTTATCATTTGGTCTCCCTTTTAATCCACTTTAAAGTTCTTTAGTTTTAATATTTTCTGCTTTCTTTTTGCTTGAGGTTTTTCTGTCTTGTCATTGTTGGATTTTGTTACTTTGCTTGCTTCCTGTTTGTGTTTCAAATGCTTTCCTGTCTATGAAAGCCAGGATAGAAACATCCACAGAGAGTAAGTAACTAGAAAAAAGCTTTCTTTTTAAAAATGAGTGTATGTATATTGTTGTTGGTGCTGTCATGACAGTTCTGACTCGTAGCAACCTAAACACAGTGAAACATTGCCCAGTCTTGTACCACCTTCACAATCCTTGGGCCACTGCCACTGTGTCAATCCACCTCAAAGAAGGGCTTCCTCTTTTTTTCTGACCTTCCAGTTTTACCAAAAATGCCGTTTTTGTTGAGGGATTTGTATCTCCTAGTAATATGTTCAAAGTACATGAGATTAAGTCTTGCCATCGTTGCTTCTAAGGAGCACTCTGGCTATTCTTTCCAAGACAGATTTGTGGTGGCAACATCAATGATTTCACTATTTATCATGATGCTACTTATTGGCCAGCTGTGAACATTTGGGTTTGTTCATGTTGAAGTGTAGGCCACACTGAAGGCTGTAGACGTTGATCGTCTTCAGTAAATGTGTCAAGTCTTCTTTGTTTTCAGCAAGCAAGTTTGTACCAACTGCCTAGTTCAGCTCCTTAATGAGTCTTCCTCAACTCCAGTCATATTAATTTCATGAAGCTAACAAGTTTTTTTATAGGCTGCTCTAGGAATAACACTATTGCATAACAGCTTCTGTGAAAATGTATTTCCACATTATAAACAACTAACATGTATTATTTAATTAATTTATTTTTTAAAAATCATTTATTGGGAGCTTACAGATGTTGTAATAATCGTAATTCAATTGCTGCCACCTTAGACCAAAACATTTTCATTCTTCTTCAACTATTAGATATCAGCTCCTTTTTATCCCCTCCCTCTCCAACCCCACCCCCCAGAGCCCTTGTTATGTTATAGATGTTATAAATTATTATTGTTATCATCATCATCCATCTTACACTGTCTAATATATCCATTCACCTACAATTCTGTAATTCCTTCTCCTCGAGTGGGATTATACAGTCATCATTGCACTGTTTCCCCACCCCACCACGCTTTCTTCCCATGCCCTCGGGAATTACTACTCCGTTACTGTTTCTGAAGGGTTATCTATCTTGGCTTTTATAAGACAATCTTAGTTATACACATGGGCATACTCATGTCCAAGTAAGTTAATGAGGTAAGACAAGAACCACAATAGTGAGGAGAGGAAGTACTAAAGAACTAGAAGATACTTGTGTGTTTCATCAGTGCTTTAGCGCATCCTGGACTAAACATCCCTTCCATGGCCCTTCTGTGAGGGGCTGACCAATGATCTTTCAGGTGGGTTTTGGGCCTCCACTCTGTCCATGCTCCTTCACATCTATTTGATTGCCTAAAGGCTTGAAGTCAAACAAGCAGCCATCTAGCAGGGATACAACAAAGCCCACATGGAAGAAGCACACAAGCTTGTGTGATCATGAAGTGTAGATGGGAACAGGTATCAGAAGTTAAAAAAACAAAACCACTAGCATTTAAATGGAGAGGGAAAAAAATAAAATAAATGGGGAGGGAGAGGGAAAAATGAGGAGCTGATATCAAGGGCTCAAGTAGAAAAGCAAATGTTTTGAGAATGATGATGACAACAAATGTACAAATGTGCTTGACACAGTGGATGTATGTATTGATTGTGATAAGAATTGAGCCCCCAATAAAATTATTTTTTTTTAAAAAGGAGTTTCTAAATACAGAATATGACTTTCCCTTTCTCATTTGACAACATATGATCTACAGCAAAAAAAAGGCTTTGTCACATAAGAAGGTTTTCTTGGCAAATGGCTATATTATTACTCAAATGTAGTATTTGAAGATTCTCGAGGCCAATATATATTATTCCATCTTAACTGAAGTTTTAACTGAGTTATATGCTTTATTAAAAACCCATATGCTATTCTTCAAAAACAGTAACATTCACATATGTTTCCATTGTTTCTATTTTCAATTTTAAAATTATAGAATCATATTTGTACTAGGCTTTCAATCAATAATGCCAAAACAGCACCGTGGGCAAAATGTGGTCTTTATTATCAATTTTTTTTTTTTTAGCCTTTAAATTTTTTTAAAATCATTTTATTAGGGACTCATACAACTCTTATCACAATCCATACATACATCAATTGTGTAAAGCACATTTGTACATTCATTTCCCTCATCATTCTTAAAACACTTGCTGTTCACTTAAGCCCCTGGCTTTAGTATTAATTTTTACAGGATTAAAAAAAAACACTACATTCTAGCAAATGTTTTTACAACCAGAAATATTTGTGTAAGATGGCCAATGATCTATTAGACTGCCAGGTCTTTGCTCCTATGGGCCATTTGATGGGTTGAAGCCACCACACTTTTGGTTAGCAGTGGATTATTTAACAATTATACAACCAGGCCTCTGTAACTGAGAGGTATTAAAAAGGGCACAGGTTAGTTAGCTAAACTGTGACAGAAATTTCACCATCAAACAATAAACTTGCCTACTTATTTATTGTTTTGTCTACTGCCAATAAAATGTAAACTCTCTGAGGGAAGAGACCTTGTCATTTTTTCCCCACAAGCTTCTTTTATTCATGGCTGCCTGATCCGTATGTGACTGCGCCCACACTTAAAACAACAGGCTGTCCATCCATCACTGAATCAATTAACGAATCAAGTACTTTCAGTAGGAAAGTCCTATCCAATGATATTGCTACCAAGGTCAAATTGTGGAGAAGTGGCTCCTGTAAATGACCATAGCCAAAATATTTCACAGCAGGGTATCTAGGAGAGACGTCAGTTACCATCTATCAAGTCAATGTACAGTAAAATAAAGTATTCCTATATTTTAAACAGGTCCTGAGTTTTAAACTATAGAAATTAAACATTGTGAATCTTCTTAACCAAAATAATTTATTAAATAACTCATGCATACTGGTAGTTTTAAATCCTTCATAGTATCTTAATATTTATAAAAATAGGTAATTTAAAAATAATCTAAAGCACATGAGTTTATATATGTGATTCATTTTCCTGGAGAAACTGGCTCCAATTTTGATAAAATATTATTAAGTTTACCTTTCCACAGCCGTAGACTCTTCAGAAAATTCAGCATCTGCTGAACTTTTTCTGCTATTATTTGACCTCCAAGAGGAAGCCAAAGGAAGTTCTTCTGAAGACATAGGTCTTGGTCTTTGGCCAATCCCAGATGGCTGTTGTAAGCCTGCTGACTGCTCTTCAGTGCTTAAAACAGCAATAATTGTTCTTATCGTGGCTTCGTCAACTTGAGACCAAGGTTTAGATGGAGCTCTCATTCGACGTAAGAATAAGCTGTGCCACTTTTGTCTAAGCTGTAGCAGTAAGCTGGCTGCCTATAATAAACAGTTCACATATATTACAAACAAATGTGTTTCACACACACGAGACACCCATTTGTTCATCAGTTAAGGTCTGCAACTATTTCCAAATAACATATTTTCCATTTTATATTAATTTCATTTTTTTCTTAACAAATGAAATAAACTTACCTGCCATATGTTATCCACTAAAGACACAGAACCAAGTTGAATAGTTCAACGAGAGATACAGGGATGAAGGCTAGAAAAGTGTCAGCAGAGTAAATAAAGGAAAACACATTTAGTGCTTCTCATACGATATTTGTGTGCCTATAGGACATCCAAATGACGGTGTCCAGAGGCAGCTGCATTCATAGATCCAAAGCTCAAGAGAAGGACCCATGTGGGAAATATATACAAAGAGCAAGGTTCCCTAAGAGTGAGAAGTGCAAAGCACAGAGTACTAAGGAACATATGATGTTTAAGGCACAAGAAGTGCACACAGAAGAGTTACTGAAAGAACTTAAAAAGAAATAGCCAAAAAGAAAGTTGAAGAATCAAGAAAGGGTAATATCATATTTGGAGCAAAGGTGAAGAGAAAATGGGAAAAGAGAGTTTCAAGGAAGATAATATTGTCAGATACTAAAGTAAGGTCAGACTTATCAAAAACAATAGACTGGGTTGGAGAACATGGAGGATGTTGATGCAGATACAGTCAGTTTCAGTGAAGTAAACGGTCAATAGGGAAAAAGATGGTTGAAGTGATGATAAATAAGTGAAAGTTTAAAAAAAAGAAAGCATTAATGACTGGAAGCCTGGCTGCTTAAAAAAAGAAAATGAAATGGACATGGAATAATCTTTAAAAGCAGAGAGAGAATTTAGAGGTATATGAAAAGACAAAACAGAATGAACTTATTTCTCTAAGAATGTTATACAAGATAAAGGCAGTTCTTCTGTAAGTTCTTCTGTAAGGCAGTTCTTCTTCAATAATTTCTTATATACACAAAAATACTAAAGTATTACAAAGCTTAAATACTGAACAACAAATAAGTTTTCAAGTCTTTTATTAAATAAGCTCCAATACAGCAGAGAATAAATGAGGAACCTATGAAAATTAATTATCAAGCAGTACTAGGGGCATAATGTTTAATATAATTTTTAAAAATATTGTATATCAATTCACATTTGCTAACTAAAATAAAGTCATTTTACTACTAAAAAGCAACTTACCTCTGGATCCAGTTTAAAACTGAGCCACTCATCCAGTTTCAAAGTTGCTAAATTAGCAGTAGTTCTATCTTCCATTTCACTATCACTACTATCATTAGGAACACCATCTGCTGTTCAAACATATTAAAAGAAAAAAACTCTCACTCTTACTATCTGCTATCACAACGAAAAAGTAAACAGAATAGCAACTTTTAATACAAATCCTCCTGATTTACTACCAACTTACACGAGGTGTTCTCCAAACTAAACAAATCACAAATTAACTATAATTATTTAAAGGGGAAAAAAATTAAAGACATTATAAAACTATATTCTCTAAATCACTCAGCAACAAAGCAAAATAAAAGACAAAAGACTTAAAATTAAAGTACAATCTTTTAATAACTGTGTAAATAAGAAAATGAAAAGTACAATTAAAGAGCTGAATATACTATACATTGAGAATTATAGAATATGGTGAAAGTAATATTTAAATTTATAGTTTTAGAATTAAAAAGAAAAAAACTACCTATCAGTATAAATCTTAGAATACCAGAGAAGTCAATGAAAAAAATATTTTTTTAAAAAAGATAAACTAGACAAGAAAAGATGCTAATAACAATAGTTAAAACCATAACTCAGATTTTGGAAAAGATTAAAAATTTTAAATTACAAAGCTTTCATAAAGCAGGAAGAAAGTATAATATCAGAAATGTGAATAAAAATACAAAGGATGATATTCCTACTCAGAGCAGCCAATGGACTGAGAGGACCATAGGCCCAGCCCCACCACAAGACCTGAAGGTCCCTCACTGACACATAATGTTACGGGGGACAGCACTCCAGACACAATGTAGGAATTGCGCCCTATCTGACCCCACCACAGGGGGCAAAACACTAAGGGTGTCCAATGAAACAGCAAGGGGAGCAAAGCAATGAAGTCCCCAGGGAATACCAAAAATAGACTGTGGAGCTAGGCGGGGCCCCCATCAGACTTGACCGGATAAT